CCCATTCAACGCCCCGAGTAGGACATCTTCTGGGTTTTAGTGCGGTAGGTCCTGCCCCGACTCTCCGGCCCGCTACGGCGGACCGGCCAGGCGAGGCAGAGAGTCCCACATAACCCTCACCTCTACCCGGAGGTGAGGGTACCATGAAGTTTCCCAGAGTAACAAAAAAAAAAGGATCCCATCCTTTAAACGGCTAAAACCCGAAAATGTGTTTCACCAAACAAAGTATTGTATATATGTTAATTATTAATTTTAATAAAATAAAAATAAAAATTAAAGGTCAAATCTAATTTTTGAACACAAATATATTAATTTATTATAAAACGTATATCCATAATAGTATTTTTCTCGTACAAAATAATTAGAATAAATTAAATAAAAATAAAAATTAATTAAATAATTTAGACTTATATTTATATAATAATAATAAAACATTTTATTCATTCATGATTTATTTTCTCCCCTAGGGATTACAGGCGCTTTTAAGGAGCGTACCCGAATCTTACAACTTCTTACAAATTTAACTTATGACTACTCTTAAATCTACTTTTATATCTAATTAAAATTAACTTAAATCTAACTTAATCTATCTATCTATCTAATTAATTAAGAGAGAGAAAGAGTCGTCCCTGTCTATTTCCTCGCTCGGCGTCCAGTTCCCCATTCATTCTCCAACACCTCATTCATACTCCACTCATTCTCCTCCTCATACCTCCTTCCTCTTTTTCCCTCTAGCTATCCCTTCTTCCTCCTTTTCTCTAAATCCCTTATCCATCCTTCCCCTTCTCCTCTCTTACAGTATTTCTTCATCCTTTCCCACCATTTCCCTTACTCTTCTCCGCCACATTCTCCTATTATTTGTTCCCATGTTTCTTCTTTCATCCCCATAGCCTACATCTTCTTTTGCCTCTTCTTTCAGTATCTCGCCCCTCTCATTTCATTGTTCATTCTAAACCTCATTATCCTTCTCCATCTATTTTCCCCCCCATCCCTTTCTTAGATATCCCGGTAATCCCTCCTCCTCCATTCTCCATACCATCTATTATATCTTCATTCTCTTATTCCCTCCCATCTTTCCTTCTGCATTTCTGTCTTTCTACTTCCATCCCTCGTATACTTCCTCTTCTCTTCCTTCTCTTTTCCTCCATTTCCTTCTCTTCTTTTCCTCTTTCTTCAAGGAAGTTTTGCCCTCTCTTCCTCCCAAACCGTTTTCTTTCTTTCTCTACCCTCTTTTTCATATCCTCATAGCATTTCCTCGCTAAACTTCCTCTCATTCCTTCCTCCAATTTCTTCTCGTACCCTATTACTTCCTCCTTCCTGCCCTTATCCTATCTTATCTCCTCTTTACTATGTACCCCGGCGTACACCAGTTCATTCCTAACGTCCACCTAATCCATCTTTCCTGCATTGCCTCTATTTGCCTCTCTTCTTCCACCCCCATATTTCAACACCGTTCCCACCAACCTTTCCATTAGCCATAATCTTTTCATCCAATCTCCTGCAATCTTCTTTTCCCCATTCCCCACATCTGTCTTATCACCGCTCCTGCTTTCCTTACTCTGTCCTTTACCTGTGCCTCCTGTTCCCCATTCCTTTGCAACTTTATATCTTAAATAAGTGAATTCCTTCACTTCCTCTAATCTTTCCTTTTCCACCTCCACTCAACTTTTTCTTCTTATTCTTCCTCCCTTTTTAAACCTCATTATTTTTTAAAAATAACTGTGAGACGACCCAACTGGCTTAAATTAATTTTATTATTATTAGTTTGATGCCATATACAAGAAAAGACAACGTTTCGACCTTAGGTTTAGGTCCTTATCAAGTCTAAAATTAACATTAAAAATACAATAGATGTACATACAAGAATTTCGATTTTTAAGAAAGTAAAGCGCAAACCAAGATTATAATAACAATTTAAACGTACCTTACAAATTCTTTAGTGCAATATATAATTAATTTTTTTCATTTTACATATTTCAATATAAATACTGTGTCACGTAAACGTTCAGTATGGATGGTAAAGACGAACTAAGTTAAACAGCTTTGATTATTCTATCATAGATCGGATTCAAATTCTCTGTGTCTTTCTGTAGGTTGATCGTGTTATTAAATTTTTTTATAAAAAACATTTCAGCAATCTCTCTTTTCCTAGTGTTTGTTTCTCGATGTAAAATATTTAAGTTTGTCCATTTAAAGTCATGCGAAAAATCATTTCTATGTTTGCTTATAACATTTTGGTTGCTGACATGCATTTTTATATTATTCATGTGTTCTTTAATCCGAGTATTAAGGTGTCTTTTAGTTTGTCCGATGTATGTGGCGTCACAGTCATTGCAGTCAACTTTATAAACTATCTCGGTCATATCGGCTTTAGGTAATTTGTCTTTTCGGGGTTTAATAAACGTATCAAGTTTTTTTGGAATCGTATAAATAACACTTAAGCCTGTTTTCTTAATAGATCTCTCAATAGTCTTACTTAGGTTCTTAACATACGGCATTAAAATACAAGACGAAATATCAAATACATTATTTTTGTCAACTACGTTATGAGAATTTTCTAAAAACATGTTCTTTTTACATATATCGCTCAATGACCGTCCTAGGGAAACAATTATTCAACAAGATTTTTTTAACCATCTGTAAGTTCTCATTATGAAATCGTGTATCCGATAACAAAATAGCGTGGTCGACTAAGTTATTAATGGTGTTAACTTTGTATTTAAACGGATGGTTAGAATGGTAGTTTAAATATCTACCAGAGAAGGTGGGTTTCTGGTACCAACTAGTCAATAGTTTACCATTGTTTCTAAAAACCAATGTATCCAGAAAGTTAATCTTGTTATTTATCTCTGTTTCATGTGGAAATTGCAAACGGTGATGGTATTTATTAAACGTAGTCAAATGTTATCAATTTTATTGCGTGGTACTATTGCAAAAATATCATCAACGTACCTATAATAAACTAAATGTCAAATTGTAAAGAGCTTAAACATTCTGTCTCAAGATCAGCCATAACTAAGTCTGCTAAAATAGGTAAAGGGGGATCCCATTGGCGTACCATGTATCTGTTCATAAAATTGATCGTTGAAACGAAAACTAGTAGATTCTAATACAGCGTCGATTCCATATAAAAATTGTGTTAAACTAAAATTTGTGTTACATGAAATATCTCTCCAACGTTTTTAATAGCTTTTAAAACTAATTCCTTAGGAATGTTTGTGAATAAAGATGTGACGTCAAGAGAAATTAACATTTCATTATCTTCAATACTCAAATTCTTGATTTTATTCGCGAACGTCCAACCGTCTTTTATATGTGAGGTAGGTTTCGTAACTGATCGTTCCAATATATCATGTAAAAAACGCGCTATACTACACCGGGCTCCCAAGTGACGAAACAATTATACGTAAAGGCGCGTTAACTTTGTGAATTTTCGGTAGACCGTAACATCGAGGAAGGTTCCCATTCGTGGTATTAAGACGTTTATATGTCATTTCATCAATCAATTTATTATCTCGCCATGATTTGATTAAAGAATTGATTCTACCCGAAACTTTCTTGAACGGATCTTTTTCAGTTTAGTATATGTACATTGATCACTCAGTGAAACATTCATTTTGTCAATATAATCTTTTTGTCCATAATAACTGTAGTTTGACTCTTATCGGCTGTCGTAACTAAAATGTCATCGTTATCACGTAGATAACTATGACATTGTTTAGAGTTGTTTATAATGTATCTATCTATGTAGCTAGTGTTTCTTTTTAAGAAATCCATATGCCGCTTTAGTTACCTCGTTTCTTGTCGATTCAACAAGAGCATTAGGAATTTTAGTGCAATTAATTTCTAGGTTCTAGCTATATAAAGCGCCAATAATTTTGCGCTCTTTTAAAGTTGCGCGAGGTGACCTGAGCGTATTACGCGTAATTGGCCGCTGTCAAAATTGACAGAACAACGGCTGTTAGAAAGCATGCGCGAGCTGGCGATCACGATGATTATTGGCGAAACGAGGCGCCCGTGAGAAGCCGCGCATGCTCAATAAAATATAATTATTCGGCGGAACGGTTGCGACACCGTTAATTGTTTATATTTCGAGCGTGTTTTTGTACGACAGGATAATTTGTGTCGCGATATGTTTTCCAAAAAAAACATATAAAACGATATGCCTGTTGACTTGCGATCGGAAGCGAATATTCTAGAATATTCTATTTAAGATATAATATTTTATTACACCTGTAGTTTCTATTATGCGTTTCAAACATTCCCGCCCGCCTTGTCGCGCAGTGACAACATGTTTGTGGTATTTCGGTCGCGGAATCGCAAGTCGATAGTGATCGATGGTGGGGCAGGCGCGCCGGCGCGGCGAGATTCACGTGATGATCGCGTGTAATTTGAATCGATCAGCTGAGCCGCGGAAACACGTGGTGATCGCGTGGAATGTGATGATCAGCTGAGACAGTAACGAGTGTGTGTTTGATGTGAAATGACGAACGTGTAGTGCAGTGTGGTGATTATGGAACAATTGCAAGTGCGGTGGTGCATGATGAGAGTGAGGTGTGACAAATGATACAGTGTATGATGTGATAAATCTCGTGAATGAGTGTCGAACGTTGATGAGTGATGTGTTACGTGCCGGCGGACGGCGTGTCCGCGTTATTCGTGTCCGGAATACGATCCGCGCCCGGGAGCATGACCAATTTAATGATCGGGCGTACGAATTCGGATGTGGCGGTGCGTACTGAGACCACGCGGACGACACCGTCGTCCCCGGGATGCAGTCTCGTGATCCTTGCAAGAGGCCATCGAGTCGGAGGGGTGAGCTCCGAGCGGATGATGCAAAGGTCCCCGACGTGAGGTGCGGCCTCGGCCTTGACCCATTTGGTGCGGGGTTGAGCCCGTGCACGTACTCAGCCGACCACCGCTGCCAAAAATGGTCTCGCATCAGCTGCAGGTGATGCCAGCGTGACAGCGTGGATGATGATTGTCCGATCCGTGACGGCTCAGGTATAGCTAATAGAGGCGCCGATGATGAAGTGCCCTGGAGTGAGTGCTGAAGTGTCGTCTGGATCGTCTGACAGAGCCTGCAACGGACGAGAATTAAGACACGCCTCGATTTGTGTGAGGAGTGTGTTAAGCTCCTCAAAAGTGAGCGTGGTGTCGCCGATTACTCGGCGGAGGTGAAATTTAGTGGATTTCACGGCAGCCTCCCAAAGACCACCGAAGTGAGGGGCCGCTGGCGGATTAAAATGCCAGCGGATCCCTTGAGTGTTGGCGGCGCGGGCGATGTGAAGGCCCTCGGAGGTCGACGCCTTGAAGAGCTCCCGCAGGGTGCGATCGGCGCCAACGAATGTTGTGCCGCAGTCGCTGTAGACGTCCGTACACAGTCCTCTGCGAGAGACGAAGCGGCGTAAGGCGGCGATGAAGGCCTCGGAGCTGTAATCCGAGACGACCTCGAGGTGGATGGCCTTCGACCAAAAGCAGACGAAGACCGCGATGTATCCTTTCTGTGAGCGGTGTCCGCGTCCTTTGCTGGTCCGGATGGAAATTGGTCCCGCGTAGTCCAGTCCAGTGCTCAAGAAAGGTCGAGTTGGCGTCACTCGGTCCCGAGGAAGGTGGCCCATTGGAGGCTGTGGCGTGGCAGCGCGCCAGCGAGTGCAAGTGACGCACCGATGCAGTTGCTGCTTGACGACGGTCCTTCCGCGTGGTACCCAGAACCGAAGGCGAAGCAGACCGAGTGTCATCTGGACGCCGCCGTGCAGAGAGCGACGATGGCAGGACTCGATCAGCAGTCGCGTCATCCAGGAGGCCGGCGGTATGATCACCGGGTGCTTCTCGTCGTAGGGCAGCAGTGCGTGTTTGAGACGTCCTCCAACGCGCAGTACACCTTGGTCGTCGATGAACGGATTCAGCTTGATCAGTGAACTGCGTGGTGGGCCGGAGCGTCCTGCGGTGGCAGCAGCTATCTCGTCCGGGAAGTGGAGCGCCTGTACTACTCGAAGCCACTGGAGTAGGGCGGCGTCCAGCTCGTCGGGGTGTAGTGGACAACCAGGTGTGACCTCCCGGCTCGCCACGTTGAGCCATCGACGACACCAAGCCGTAACGCGTAGCAGCCGATGAAGCGCAGAGAACCGAAGAAGGATGTCCGGTTCGACGACGACGGAGCCCTTGGTCATCAGGCTGGTGGTGCGCTGTTCAGGAAGGTCATCCTCTGCTGTGGACCTCTGAGCTGGGCCATGCTGTCTCGTCCAGTGCCAACCAGGTAGGTCCAGTCCACCAATGCGTGGTTGATTAATTCTCCAGGAGTAATTCCTCTCGATGCGCAGTCTGCAGGATTATTCTTCCCGGCTACGTGTCTCCATCGAGCGTCCGGGAGCTGTGTCTGGATGAGCTACCCGGTTGGCGACGAAAGTTTTCCAGCGAGTGGCGTGTCCCTGGATCCAATGAAGCGTGACCTGGGAATCGGACCACAGATATACTGGAGTAGTTGCCAAGCCGAGAATGTCGCGGACATGCAGCGTGAGCGTGGTGAGTAGGCTAGCAGCGCACAACTCAAGTCGCGGCAACGAAACCTGCTTGACGGGTGCGACCTTGGATTTCGCCATGAGTAGATTAATTGACGGTTTTCCCCTTTCAGTGGTGCGGAGGTAGACTACTGCGGCGTATCCTCGTTCGGAAGCATCAGCAAAACCGTGGAGCTGCAACCTCGAGTGATCGTTGTCGGTGCTGAGCCAGCGATTCACGCGTATGTGCCTGAGCAGCGGCAACTGATCCAACAGCTGTTGCCAATGTCGAGCATCCTTGGCCGGCAGTGGAGCGTCCCAATCAAGTTGCTGAAGCCAGGTGCTTTGGATTAGGATCTTCGCCCGAATGACGACAGGCGCGAGCCAGCCCATCGGGTCGAATAGGCGTGCAGTTTCGGAGAGGACTCGTCGCTTCGTGAATTTGCTGACTGGCCGAGGATGTATTGCGAAGGCAAACCGGTCATCCTGAGGACGCCATCGCAGGCCCAATGTCGAATGGCTCTCTCTTCCCAGGAATGTGGTCCTTGCTGCAGCCGATGCTCCTGTGGGACTCCTGTGAGGACCTCTGGATGGTTCGAGGCCCACTTCCTCAGTGGAAATCCGCCCGCCATGCAGAGGTTGCGCAGCTCCGTCTGGAGGTTGACGGCATCGTCGAGGTTGTCCGCGCCGGTGACCACGTCGTCGACGTAGCAATCAAGCCGAAGTACTGTGGCACCTTGAGGAAACTGCGCCCTCGTCCGCACAAAGTTGTTGCAGAGTTCGGATGGCCAGGAACGGTGCACACGCCATGCCGTAGGTCACCGTCTGCAGCTCGTACTCTCCGATCTCGTCCGTCTTGTTGTGACGCCACAAGATTGTTTGGAGACGGCAGTCCTCAGGATGTACGAGGATTTGGCGGTACATCTTCTCGATGTCGGTGACGAAGACGTACCGGTGCCAACGCCATCGCAGCAACACGTCGGTGAGCGCTGGCAGAAGGTTTGCCCCAGTCAGCAGCTGCGAGTTGAGCGAAGTACCGGCCCGTGTGCGCTGAGAGCCGTTGAACACGACTCGGAGCTTTGTCGTCGTGCTCGATTCCTTCAGGACCCCGTGATGCGGTAAGTAGCATCTGAATTTCTCCGTTGTTGTTGAGGTATTTACCTTCTTCATGTGTTTGCAGGTCCTCGTATTCCTGCTGCATAGCCGTGATAGAGGTCGCCAAATCGAAGATCTCGGCTGCCCTTGGTCTCCATGGCTTTCAGTAGGCGCTCCGCTGGGCGGCAGTATCCTGAAGAGTCGTCGGCGGCGATGAGAAGGGCAGCCTCACCATGTATCTCCCGGTGGGCGTGCGCGTGACGGTGCGCACGTAGAGTTCCTCGCACTTGGTCTCGTCGGGAGTGAAGTGAAGCCGAGTTATCGGCTCGCTCTCCTGCTCGCAAAGCGTCGAACGAAGTCGGCGAGGTCATGATCGGCGGTGCACCGGAAGGTGCGGCGATGTCCCGTGCTTGCTGCTGCGTCGTAGCCGCCAGAGAGGATCCATCCCAGGCTGGTTTGCTGAGCGATCGGCATCCTTGATTCACCTTGCGGAGGCCTTCCTCGAGGATCAAGGAATAGACCTCGGCTCCCAGTAGCAGCTCAGCTGGGTCGTCGTCTAAGAAGCGAGGATCGGCCAGTTGGAGTCCGTTGAGATGAGGCCAGCTGCGTTCTTCCCGCGAAACCGAGCCTTGCTGCAGCGATATGCGGGGCAGCACAAAGGCCACCACGCTGAGTTTGGCGTTGGTCACGTCTGACGTTACGTGCAGCGTGACCTTGCCACGAGCGGATCCCGAGCGAGTCCCTCCGATGCCGAAAATGGAGAGGCCCATTGAGGCTCGAGGAAGGCGAAGACGTTGTGCCAAGGTCTCTCCGAAATGATCGACACCTCAGAACATTGGTCGATCAACGCGCGTACGGCTTGTGTTGATCCGTACCGATCGGCGACGTTTATTCGTGCTGTTGCAAGAAGAACGGCCTTGCACTCTGGATTTTGCAGCGTAGCGGTCAGTGTGGTGGCGCGTGTGGCTTCAGTTGACGCTGACGATGTGGGTGCTCCGTGTAACATCGTGTGTTGTCGTGCGTCGCATGTCAGACAGTTCTTCTTGACTGGCAGCGAGAGAGAAAATGGTTGCCTAAGCAATTGTAACAGAGCCTGTTACTCTCGAAAACAACTGCCTTGCGGTCGTTGACAGTCTGGGCCTTGAAATCTCGGCAGGTCATCAAGGTGTGCTTCTCGCGACACAGGGCACAGTGCGGCGACTCGGTTCCTTGGTGCTTCGTGACGTGTGCCTTGGCTACCCGTGGAGCATCTCCGGGCGGTTTGCTGGCGCTCTTCGGTCGTGCGGCATTGAGCGTCAGGATCCGACGGCTGATGAAGTCCACAAGTGCCTCGTTTTGTGTCGGCTCTGATGAGTCTGACGTGGACGACTCCCCTCAAGACGTGTGCGTGCATCAAACAGCTCGGTGACCAGGAAGTTGAAGAGGTCCATTCCGTGGGTGTTGATTGGACGTCCGATGCTCTCCTGACCATTGACGGCGGCAGTCACGGCGTTTGAATGCGTCTCAATTCTTCTGCGGTATCTCCCTTCATCTTCGGCACGGCGATGAACGTGGCGAAGTTGGAGCGGATCAATTCCTTTTTGTTGTTGTAGTGTTTGTCCAGAATCGCCCAAGCGCGATCGTAATTGTCGCTGGTGACAGGCAATGACCTTATTAACCTTTCAGCTTGCCCCGTCAGACATGAGCGCAGGTGGGTGAAAGCGCTCGATGTTGGAGATCGCATTGCCACTCACGACGGAGAGAAAGAGATCTCGGAACGACGGCCAATCGGCGTAGGCACCAGAAAATGGCGGCACTTTGATACGCGGCAGTGATGACCTTGACGTGGCGTCGGCAGAAGGAGGTACGTTTGCTGCACGATAGTGTTCAGCGTAGCTGTCTAGTATGCTTCTTTGTGACACGTAGAGATTCTCCGTATCAGCATGCAACTCTGATTTAAAGTACTCGCTCTCACTGAACCTTTCCTTCAAGGCCGCACGGATAAGGTCATGCTGCGCCTCGAACTTTGTCCACAGCTGATCCAGAATTCTGGTGCGTGTGGAGATAGCACTGGCGGTGATATTGGAGCTGCCCAGCTTCTTCAAGTACTCCACAGAACGTGAGATGCGGACTTGAAGCTCACGCTGACAGTCAACCAGCGTGGTA